ACTTGCCTGGAACAAAATTTGCTTCTTTTCCCTTCAGTAAATGTGTTACTCTGTTGGGTAGAAACACAACGTTGTTGTCCAGCTAGACGAGCTATCATCTAATCGGGTCTTGACGACACGTAGTCAACTTGATGCTTACTTTTCGAGCCAAAGATCCTTTCATATTGATTGCTTCGAGATTCATCTGCAATGAAGATGGAAATAGTGTAGGAATATTCAAATCATCTTCAAAAGTTGAACCGAATCATACACACTGATGAGACAATATCATGTAACATAACATTACTTACTCACCTTGAGAATGTTTTATGTTGGTTTCCACAAGTTCAAGAAGAACTTCCAATTCCAACTCACATAGGACTTTGCGTGGCGGGACGTCCAAATCATGATTTGGAGTCCCAACACAGAAGGTCCTATGTGATCCGAATCTCTCCTAGCCCTGCTACTATCTGCAATTACCAGTTCACAGAAATTCGCGCAAATACCTGGTCATTTTCACACATAAAGGCTATTTCGCATATAAAAAGCTATTTTTCGTCGTCTCCTTTGCTCCCGCACTATTCCAGCGGAAAATGAATCATCTCCTTTTCGATATAGAGGGAACAGTCTGCTATTCGACGTTTCAAATTCTGCAAGAATGATTAACAGAAAAACTCTCAGTGATTCCAGTAATGGAATGAATTCCTAAATTATCACCAACAAGTGCTCCATGTTGAAAGTAACATTCAACCTTTGCATTTCATATATCTTACTCAATACCTGAATTGTACAAAAACGTAAGTTTATTCATAACAGAAGTGAATATCACGATGTTGCCAAAAGCAACTTGATCAGAAGTATGAAAAATCGCAGCAAGAAAGATATTTATCGGTTGTGACGCCCATTTTGGAGGGAGACATAGTATTGAAACATAGACTGCTCCTAGTTTTGTGAATCTCTGCATGAGTGGATAGAACAATCTCAGTCTCGAAATCATCAAAAAATAAGAATAAAAGGATGACAGGACGATTACCATGAATAATTTTTTGACTTTGCCCGGAACATGCTTTGATAAATTTTTTTATTATGCCAATTCCAATATCATCTTGTGAAGCAACCATGTACTCCACAATGTCTTCGGAAACACCTGGTATTGAGAAGAATTTTTGTAATACACTGTGCAGAGGACTAACTTTTTCTGTGGAAGCTACTGGCTCTGAAACTCTACTATCATTGTTTCTGACATCATTCATTCGTTGACCTATTACAATTTGCGAAGGTTTCACGAACGTTTTCGTGACTTGCTCAAAGTACTGTATTCTTTTATATTCAGATTGAAAACTTTCAAAAGATTACTCCAGCTTATGTGGTACAACTTCACACACTGAACCTATATTGTTACATTTAATCAAACCGGTATCATTCAATTCAGATAAGCACTGTCCCACCATATGTGAGATTACGCCTGATATATGCGGAGTAAATCCATGAACCACACTGTTGATGCAGTTTTTGGGGTGGACGTGGATTTGCATACAGAGATGTGATGAAAAGAGGAAACTCTGTTTCCCCGACTCCAGCTTTTGTGGCAAGACTTATAGATTCAACCTCCATAAGCTTATTATAAGCTAATTCTGCAACATCTTCAGAATACGTGGTTTCAGAAGATGACGAAGTCTGAGCCACCAGCTATGACTGAGCTATTTTTGAATGCGAATGAAACAAACGAAGATGTCTACTGTTGGACTGCTTGCTATCAAATTTTTATCACACCCACCTTCAATACAGATGTATTGATGATTCCCTTCGATGAAAAGAGCTCAAATGTATGAACAGAGACTCGGACAAGTTAAAGTACAAATGAAACATGTGAACATTATTCATCGCGTCCCTGTTCCCTAACTTCTAACTCCGATAGTAGGGTACTGACATTCGAGTATGTTTGATCATATTTTGTAGACATTTGAAGAAAACCTGATTGAATAAACATCCAAATAGGTTTAGATTCCGTTAGATATTCAGCATTTAGAACGCGGATAATTCAACATGCATTCATCGCACTCAAAATTGTATCTACTTTATACAATGTTTTGTCTACAATGATATAGTAAGAGCATATATCTCATGATTTTTGGCCTATAATTATTATGTGAAGCGGCAAATGAAACTTCAAACCTGCCATTTTATCTCTTCTTCCATTTATTGTTTCCTCCACTTCTGCTGCCGATATCACGTGTGTTTCAAAACCCTCCATTGCTTCTAAACGGGATGGCTACCAGGTTGTATTTTATTTGCTCCTCCTCACGCTACTCAAATCAAGCAGATACGCTATAGATAATAAGAGTGGTATGTTGTAATGTTCTTCTCCACCTAAAAACGCAATTATAAAATAAATTATGATATACGCACCAGTCAGCCTATAAGCGTGAGAAAATGAGATGATCATTATATTAGAAAAAATTGGAAACTCATATTGCTGATTCCAGGGAACTCTAACTTGAGACTCAAAGAGAAAAATTATGGCATTACAGGCTGTTCAATTCTACTTCTCCCAGAGTCCAAACCTTTGATGAATATTCAATCACCCCGTATAATTTTTGTGTAGCCCCCATAAATAGAATTAGGGAGATGTAAGAAAATTAGTTGTAAGATCTAACTAACTTTGGTTATACAATTTTATATATTCAAGTTCAGTCAACTCAGTTGGTTATTTAAGTGTTCAGTGTTTGTTTTATGGTAGCAGACTTGAGTTCAAGAATAGCAAGAGGGAACTATTATGTGAAAAACTGTAGAACTCAACACTTGAAAAGACACAATAGTCTCAATTGAGCAAAACTATTAAGTGTTTCTGATTTATAAAACTTTCTTTCAATTTCTTCCCTATTCAAAATAAATATATGATGAAGAAGAAAAGTTCTCATAAGAGATGGAAAAATACCTTCTGCAAGCTTCAGTAGCTCCTCCAAATTGGCTTTCATGTCGGGCACTAAGGATGAGTCTATTATTGTCTTGATTGTATTCAACAAAATTTTCCTTGTCAGGGGAAATGTCTTATTTAGTGCCTCTGTATGATCGAAGAATATGATTCTGAAGTCAGTCAGCAACTTGAAGAAAGAGGAAAACATTCATAAATCTCCACTATCTTGTAGAATTATCTTCGCTAACGAACGTATATTAAACATATTTCAATCTGGGTCTATGTATAAACAATACTATAGATATATAACATGAAGTACCTGAGTGTTTCAACAATAAAAACTGGAAGCATTTCTGAGATATTCGAAATATTGTTTATCATAGTGTTCCATTATGGACAATTTCAGCTGTTAACTTAAAATAAATAAAGCTCTGCTTTCAACAGTCTGAAGTTCATTAGGCATATTCGTTTTCGTCATATATTCACCAATATCACACTCATTTCATTTTCTAAAAACTTCATTCAAATGGAATTTCAAAACTGTTCTTCTCTGGGGGCCATGACTTGACCTTTATATCTTTCAATACCAAATAATTTTTGTTTGTCTTTTATCGGTCAGTTTTTGATGAGAATAAAAAAAAATGACTTTCTAGCCTGAAGTTTCGCTTTACTTCTTGCTGAAGCATCCTCAGATAGTTTTTGATTTCTTGATATATATACATATATATATATATATCGCTCATTAAATAAAACAACGTCATAACTCGAAAAACATCATTCTTGAAGAACTGTGATTGAAAGTATGAAATCATTATCATTCAGATCACATATATTCAAGAGAAACTCCAATGGCACATTTTGGTTCAACAATCAATATTAGTACCACCTGGAGTAATATTTTTGTTCACGAACCTGTTTGACAGTATACCAAAGCAATTTTATAGCAACCATTCAGAATTAGGACGATATTGCAACATGAATTGATTTTGTAAAATGTCATAATTTGAGATATTGAGAATTGAAATCATTTTATGGTAATCATCTTGATCGCCTTATCTCTGAATAATGTGAAATGATTGCCAAATCTATAGATAGGTGTCTAAGGTTTTATAATCAGGTGAATATCGTAAAGACCAACACTAGAAATAAAACACATTTTTATTCGAATTATTTCTCAATACAACAAAGTTTAGTGCTACAAATTATTATAAAAATTAGAATAGAATTTTGGGATGTGATTTTTATTGATCAAATCCATGAGGTCACTTTTTTTTCTTTCAGCTAGTATAGGTTTTTTGTTGAATGCAGGCTTCAAATTTATTCTTGTATCATTTATTTTTTTTTTAGTTATTATTTTAGCCTCCTGAAACTCATCATTGTATGAGTTCTTGTAATATACCGATACAGGAGATTCTCGCACAACTTTCATCACTTTAACTTCAGTAAGTTTCAAATGTGTCATAGTGAGGGGTCCAATGTCGGAAGCAAGTTGCTTCAGGTCATAAAAATCCTCATAACACATTTCGTTTACAGTAAAAGGTGTTCCTTTTTTCTTTGCTGTCCGGATAGCAGCAATGAAAGCATCTGGTGTATACATGGGTCCCCCTCTCAATTGTCGTTTTACCTGTCTTTCGATAAGAGAATGAGCGGAGTCGCCCTCGTTTTGCGTATGGCCCTTTATAAGGAATTTGTGAATGATAGACTTTATTCCGAGATAGCGGACAGCATATAGATACATTGCTAGCATAAACTTATTTTTTTGCTGCCCCACACAATTATCGGAATAAAAAATAACTTCACAATCAGTGATGGTGGCTTTTTTTTGTAAATCTTTCAGCACACAACTACCTAATTCGTTCACTCCTCGATGACCATTAGATTCATCCCATACGTAACATTCACAGTTATTTGTCTGCAAATCATAAATCGTGAAGTTTAAAACGTTGAGTTTCGATTTGTAGAAAAACACAGAAACATCTCCTTTTGGTATTGGCATAACCGCCTGGAGGTCATATACTGCAACAATACCATTGGACTTAATATTTTCTTTATCTCGTTTCTTTTCTTCCCTTGATGATTTTTTTTCAGTCAGATGTAAGTCATACTAATCCTTCAAATGTTGTTTCTCTTCATTTGTAGCGTTTTCGTATGCCACACAGGTTTCACATAGATCTTTCTTTGGCACGAAGAAGGAAATATTGAATTCATTCGTGAATACACGTTGGAATATAGCATAACTTCCATATAGCTCATTTTTTTCTCTGCATTTTGAAACATAATCTCTATGGATGTCGGCCAACGAACGACTGCCATCTATGAATGTTCGTGAAGTATTAGCGCGGGTGTAGTGGCTTTCAATCCTAGGGATTGGATTTATGTGTTGTCGAATTCCTTCACGAATGGTCGGGTCGAGAGTCTTATGTTTCCCATGTTTTCCTCGTCTATCTGGTTCGAGTAGAATATTTGCCACTTTATTTCGTTTTTCTTGTACAGTGCGAATTGTACGATCGTTAATGTCAAGAGTATTTTCAAAAAATAACTTACAAACTCTGACTCTCTGACCTTGCCTAATGAAATAATAAGCATTATTATTTTGTCGTTGGTTTCTTGTACCACCAACACGAATGTATCTGTATTGTGGTACAATAACTGTCATGGAGTTATTGATGAAGTCTATCTGCTTCTCTATATTACCCAATGACCAGTATGCTGAAAAAACCTGCTGTCTCTCTTCTTGATTGAACTTTGACGAACACTGCAATTTACATTTTCCACCGCACGGAGCTTTCATTTCCCTTTTCATCCGAAGTTTCTTGGTCCTTGTATTTGTTTCATAGGCCTGTCCACAATTTCTCAATTCCTTTGAAATATTCCTTTTCCATTTTGCTGTATTTCTCTTACGTTTCACTCCTTTATCGGCTGGGCTTGTTAAAATTGGGATATCTTGGTTAGATGTAGAAGGTTTATTGGTGGTATCTAAATGTAATGTGTCATTGTCTTTTTGATTAATTCCATTGTTTTCTTTACCGCTATCTTCCTCAGAATCATCACTTCCTGGTGTATACAATTTGTCGTTGATTAAATCTTCACAATCCTCAGAGGAAGATGAAGTGTCACTCTCACTAGCAGATGAAGAACTACTTGATGAGTTTGAAGGCTTGGAACTGGAACTATTCGAATGATGAGGTTCTTCGATGATAGCCCTATCTTGGTTTTCTTTAAAAAAATTAGTGAAAATAGTAGTTAGTATTATTATTATCATTATTAGTAGTATTAGTAGTTTTTTTTTTTTTTTTTTTTTTTTTGAGTGGAAGAAAATCTTCAATAAGACACCAGGCGGCAGACACAGCTCGACACCAGCATTAGCAGGCGCCGAGCTGCATGTGTCGTCCGGTAGTGCCGGATTTTTACCGGCTAAAAAACTTCCACTTTATTCTTGCTGCAAGTGGGATTCCTGTTTGGAATTACTTCACTATGCAGCGATCTTGACTCTTCATAAATTTCTCCTTTTAAATTCTGTCTCTCTTCTTATTAGTATTTTCATGACCAATTCATTGATTTCTTGCCAATTCCTCTTTTCTGTCATCATGATATCCATAATATTTTCTTTGCTCAATTTCACATTCAGTTTCAGTTCTGTCTCATCTCTCAGTCTTCTATCTTCTCCACACTGAAATATCATGTGTTCCGGTGTGTCTCTCAATGCGCAATGTGGACATTCGTCGCTTGCGCTTACTCCTATTTTGTTTAGGTAACTCATGAAAAAACCATGTCCGGTGATCCATTGGGTCATGTGGTAGTTTAGGTTTCCAAACGGTCTCTTGTTCCATTTTCGAATGTCAGGTATAAGTGTGTGCGCCCATCTGCCATTCTCGCATGTATCCCAATCAGTTTGCCATCTCGTAATGATCCTTTCTGTTATCGCCCTTTTCTCGACTTCGTTCTTACCCCACATCTCATTTCTCTGTCTCACGAGTAGTTGTATGGGTATAATTCCAGATATCACAAGACTGCTCTCTGTGGATGTTGTTTTGAAAGCCCTACTTATTCTAACTGCCATCGTTCTCTGCACTTGGGTCAGCATTTTTAGGTTTCTTTTAATTGCAATTGCTTTCTCCCATATGACCGAAGCATAAAGAATTATGGAATGAACTACCGCCCCCAGTAGTCGTCGTTTACTTTCTGTTGGGCCGTTTTTTCTAGGCATCAGTCTCATAAGTGTGCTCATAACTGATTTTGCTTTGGAGACTACCTTCTCAATGTGATGTCTATATGACAAGTTCCGATCTATTGTTACTCCAAGATAATTCACGGTTGTTTTCGGGATTATTCTCACGCCATTCTAACGTAAACGCCACTTGAGTCTCCAATTTTTTTTTTCCAATTAACAGGACTGCCTCGGATTTCTCCGGAGCCAGCTTCAGTTCATGTTTTTCAATCCATCTGCTTATCCGTTCTAGAGTTTCATTGACCTTCACGACTAAACCCTCTTCGGTTCTATCGACCACTACTACCGCGGCGTCGTCGGCGTAGGCGATGATTTTTACTTCTTCCCCTGTTTCGATGCGCAATATTCCATCATAAAGAATGTTCCATAGAAGAGGTCCCAACACAGATCCTTGAGAAACTCCTGCGCTGATACGGTATTCGTCACCATTGTCGTCTATAATCTTACGGTCTGTCAAGTAGCTGGTTATAATGGTCCTCAGATATTTGGCCACTCTTCGTTTTCTCAGTTCCCGTAGTATTACGTTCCATGAGGCTGTGTTGAACGCATTTCTGATGTCTAAGGTTATGAGAGCACAAAATCCTCTTGTTCTTGGATTCTTCCTCATCTCTTTCTCAGCGATATGTACTACTTCCTGGATTGCATGTATTGTGGATCTTCCTGCTCTGAACCCAAACTGCATCTCCGACAGGGGAGCCTTCAACTCTAGCTCTCTGTTGATTCTCGCCGCTATAACGTGCTCCGTAAATTTGCCAATTGCATTCAGAAGGCATATGGGACGGTAGGCTCTGGGGTCTTCCTCGTCTTTTCCTGGTTTCTTGAGTAGGACTAACTTACCTACTTTCCATTGTTTCGGGAAATTACCGTTTCTGATTATGTCGTCCACCATCTGACACATAGTTTCCGGAAAATCTTTGACTACTAATTTAATTATTTCCGAGGGTATCCCGTCCGGGCCAGGCGTTTTGCCATTTTTCAATTTCTGCGCTGCAGTCAAGAGTTCAGGAAAGAGAGTGTTAATGATTTCTTTCCTGAGGTCTGATGGAATAGCAAGCGGCCTGTGTTTGAGTTTTCCCATTGCAATTTGGTAGGCCTTACCCCAGATATCATTTTCAATATTGCAACATAATTTATCCCATGCAGATTTTTTGCTTGTCAGTATCATATTTTTCAACTTTGTTCTAGCTCTTTTCAGTGTGTTCTGTAGTTGTTCGATGGTATCTTGCATTCCTGGTCTTCCATTCGTCCGACTAATCCGCCTTCTTAATGTTGTTGATCGGCCCTGAAATTATCCAACCTAGCTCAGTTTTTTGTAGTATAGGTCCTGGAATATTCAATTTGATTTGTCCAATGCATAAGAGATCCCAAAACCAATCGGCTCCGATCAGCGTATCAATTGATCCTGGTGAATGAAAAGAAGGATCTGCAAGTTTGATATTAGTCGGAACAACCACTTTCGATAAATCAACTTTGAAGTTGGGAAGTTCACCTATAATTTCTGGCAAAACGAAACAAAATATGTTCGCTTCAAATGTATCATGCTTTGATTTTATTCTCACATTACACATATCAGTAATTTGTGTACTAGAATTATTTATTCCTCCTACAGACATCACTATTTCAGTAATTGCGAGTTGTAGTTTGTTGCATAAACTTTTGTTTATAAAGGAGCTTTGTGACCCTCCATCTAACAAGACTCGACTGTGTGGTTCATTATTCTTGTCAAAAATAGTAATAGTGACTGTGGAAAGCAAAACATGATTTTGAGAATAGCAAGACAGCGTTACTGATTCCCTTTCAGGGCCTAATGTAGTTTCATTAGTTCGATCTGAATTGACCCTTTTAGTTTCTAAATGTAATAATGTATTGTGTTTTAAAAAACAATATACCGATCGACAATATTTCGTATAATTTCCCGGTCGTAAGCAATTACCACATATTTTCAGTTTATTGACAATTTCCATTCTGTCGTTTGCTTTTAGTTTCAGAAATTCTTCACAGAATTGAATATAGTGATCTTTTTTGCAATGAGTGCATCTCTGTTGAGTAGTTGGAAATGCCTTTTGCATTCTGTTAGAATTAGTGTTAGTGTTAGTATTAGGATAGTTATTTTTCTTATCATATTTAGTGGTATAAGGAGTAGTTTGTTCGTTTAACTCTAGTGCTTCTAACATTTCAGCACGAAGTTTGAGAAATGTAATTAGTTTTTTTAGTGAAGGTACACTGGTATCTCTAGATTGCTCCCATTCTCGACCTGTGACACTGTCTAGTTTTGTAGTGATCAAATAGACTACTAGTGTGTCCCATTGATCAGTCGGTAGCTTAAGACTGTTGAGTGCTCTTAAATGTTTAGAAACAGAATCTACAATTTTTCGAATTTTCGTTGAAGATTCTTTTTCAACTAATTCCAAATCGAACAGTGCCTTTACATGATTATATATCAGCATCCTATTATTTTCATAGCGTTTGCATAGTAAGTCCCACGCTACTGAATAATTAGAAGCCGAAAATTCGAGAGATTGTATCACGTCAGCTGCATTTCCTTTTAATGAGGCTCTAAGATAGTGGAATTTCTGAATATCATTAACTGAATCATTGTTATGAATAAGGGATTCGAATGTATCTTTGAATTCAAGCCAGTGATTATAATCTCCGTCAAATTTAGGCAAATCTATGATTCCTGGCTAGAATAAATAATTGCCATTGAATTTTATCAAATTCATGGTAGGGAGCTTGACATTTTGTGTGAGGTAATTGACAGGAATAACATCATGTGCAAGTTTATTAGAAGGATCGTGATTAATACCATCACTAACTGTAAGTAAAATCTTCTGTAAAATCATATTAGCATCAGCTGAATAAGAACTGTAAATCGATAGAGTGGACTGTATTTGAATTGTACGCTGATAGTTTGAAAGATTCATGGGACGAAGTCGGAATTAGAATATGACTTTAATCTGACAATCAAAAAATTATGATGACATTAAACATCAATAGCAACATATCGAGTATGTTTTTTTCTACAAACTTCAGCGAAATCAAGATATGTTGCTGCAAATTAAAATATACAATGTGTAAATGAAATACGTTTCAACATATTCCCCCCTTGAACAATCATCAGTATATTTGTTCAAAACATCAGATAGTTAGCTGCTAGAAACAGCTAGATCGGCATCAGGATCAACAATGCCATCACCGTCCGTTTCTGGTAATGGGAGTGGACATAATCGCGTAACTGCTCGCTTCAGTATACTTGTTGGAGTCTTGATGGTAGCCACCCTAGCCACCTCGTCATCGCCATAATAAAGTTCAAGAATTCTTCCCAATAACTACTGACAAGGAGGTACGCTATCGTTTTTGATCAGTACCAAACTGCCAACCTTTACAGATGGAGAATTCTTGTTTCATTTAAGTCTCTGTTGCAGGTGAGACAAATAATCTCTGGACCAACGACGCCAAAAACATTGCTGAATATGTTGCAACAATTGGAATCAAGAACATCTGTTCATAGGAACTTTCATCAGATTTGGATCTGGAGCCATTGCTAAGGGTCTTCTGATTAGGAAGTGAGCAGGAGTTAGGGGTTGTAAATCGTGGGGATCAGAGGATAATGGATACAGAGGACGGGAATTCAATATACTTTCTATTTGCACCAATATGGTGTGAAATTCTTCAAACGTGAATTCAGTCTCACCTATGACCTTCAAAAGATGATGTTTGACGCTTTTGATTAATGACTCCCAGAGTCCTCCAAAATGTGGAGAATTTGGTGGAATGAATCGAACATGAAGGAAATGGATATACCGGGTGGCTACGGAAGTATTGCCTACGGAATATCTCAGTTATTGTATGAAGTAGGTTCGTGAAATTTGGAGCGTCGATATAATGACATAAGAGCGAGAATTTGAGCATATTGACATGTCGAAGTTAACTTCCGGTCTGACCGGAAGTAACATCAACTTTCTAGACTAACTAGATCAGAAAAAAA